TCTTTGAAACATTGTCCAATGTTTCATTTATTTTGACGAATTCGATCAGTCAGTTCACCTTTGAAATCTCCGCTGTCCTTTGTGATTAAGTAAACCTAGTTACATCATCCTTCCTGGCGTCAGACAATTACGTTATCAAGTAGGTTGTAAAACCCTAAACAATTGAAACAATGCTAACTTGACATGGCAAGGCTGAACTCAGACAGATGTGATACCCTCACCCAAACGAGAGTAACGTTGTCAAGTAACTAACTGGTGTGTTTTGTTTTAAAGTAGACGGCTGTAAAAATTACACAGTGCTTAATGAAACAGATCGGGCCCAAGGTAATGCATTGCCACCGTATGACCGATATGACAAGGATCTGATAACTGGTTGGTATCGTTTCCAAGGAGTTGCTGGGGATAAGATGCCGGACAAATGTGTTCTGACACAACGCTGCGGTACCAGGCATCCAGGTTGGCTTAATGGTACGCACCCGAGAGTCTTCGAAGGTGTAGTAACACGTGAAGTCTGTTATAGCGGGCCTGCAAACTGCTGCGCGTGGAGTGGCATCATTAAAGTCAAGAACTGTACTGGTTATTACGTTTATGAGTTAAAGAAGACACCTGGAAATTCTTCTCGCTATTGTGGTAACGCTGGCGCTGGTAAGCTGCATTGTGACGATTTGCCTCACTAGTGATTACTGAGCGATTAAAAAGATATCACGAGTTTAAGTATAAAAGAAAAACACTTTTAAAAGTCTAGAAACACAGCAATAAAAGCTAAAATGGATATCTCAACACAACGAAACAATTGGGCGCTTTCCATTTGGTCCAAAATTCCGAATATTCCGGTTCGAGGTGTGAATGGGAAATTTCCCAACTAGAAAATATCCGGGAAAAGTGAAAACGCTCAAAAGGTAGTCCCGTTTTCCCGGTTGGAACATCCCGTCTGGTTTCTCGCGTTCCAATTGCAATGTCCCGGTAATCTGCAGCTTAACCAGTTCCAGGCTCACGGCAATCAAACTATCACCGCCATTTCGTAAACAAAATGGCGGCAGAGATTATAATGTAGCTTGCTTGCAACTCCCTGCATGGAGCATCTACTGAGTCAAGACTGCTCTTCTTTTGAAAATGGTAGGTAATTTGATTTGAATTTGGAAGGTGTACACTTTTTGAAAGGCTTACANATGTAAGGCCATATGGCAAGCCTGAGCACAAATAATGATGAAAACCCTCCCAAAAAGGAATAAAGATTTTGCAAGGCTCTAAATAAATGATATGTTTTTATTTTAAGTTGATGGCTGTAAAAATTACACAGTTCTAAGTGAAGCTGACCGCCCATCGCAGAACATCGGAAGATGGCCTAAGAAGGACCTGGTAAATGGTTGGTACCGTTTCCAAGGAGCTGACGGGGATCGGATAGCAGACAAATGTGTTCTCAAGGGACGATGCGGTACTGACTTCTCAGGTTGGCTTAAAGGTGGGCACCCGTCAGTCACAGAAGGTGCGG